CACAACCAACACGCCTCGGCTCTCGCCAAAGTGAACCCCCACTGGACCAATGGATTCTGATTACTACGGATACCATCTCCGCTGTGAAAGCACGTAAGCCATGGCCTCTCTTGTGGAGGTCTGCATTGTGTCAGATCTAAAGAGTCCTGATCTCTGGGCAGCTCTGCCACCGGTAGTATTGTACTGCCGTCGGCCGCTGCCGAACCACGCAATCGCCCTGTTTTACCATAAAGTAAATTGTCATACAATGTATTGTAATGTTTTGAAGTATATTGTACAATAATAACTAGAGACCAAATAATATTACATGAATAATATTAGTATACATATTAGTATTTAGTATACATCTAATTTATATCCTCTATCCTTAATCATAACTGTGATTGAGTTGTATTTAATGAATAAAAAGATTAGTTTTAAAGTTTTAAATTCCTATTTCACTAAATATTTGACTGAATCTATTTAAAAAATATTTTATCGCATGAAAAAATCTTATATATCATATCTACTGTTTATATCTGTTATAAATATTTCAATATAAATTACTTTAAATAACTTTATGGTGAAAAGTGTTGTTTTAATTAGTCTATGTTTGGTTTTCATGTGTTATGACTTGAATTTATAGTCTAATATCCGAGACATCATTACCTCCGGTAAAAGTCCTCAATAAGTATGAATTATTCATAAGATTTCCGCCGTAAACATGGGATAAGTCGAGAGTCGGTGTCGCGGCGTTCATCTGATTGCGCGGACCTTTCATTTGAAATGAAAAAAATTTATTTATTTATTTTTTGATAAATTCACAACAATTTAATTTATTATATCTCATAACCCAATTGATATGGATTTCTTAATAACACTAATAATTGATAGGTATTTATATTTAACTAATAAATTGTTTGAAAGAAAATATTAATCTAAGAAATACTTAATAAACTATAACCTCAAGTGATATAACATTAAATTAAAATGAAACTCATTTTACGATAAAAAAGCAAACGATGTTTAAATAATTGATAACTTGAGCTCTAATTAAATAAAATAAATTATAGTAATTACAGACCAACATTAATAATAATTAATTAATTGTTAAACACAAAAATCATACCTAAACTGCAAGTATTACAAGCGGTCGAGCGGACAGAGTTAATACAGCGTTGATTGAAACGTGCCGTTAGTGTATCGGTGGGTATGTTATCAATGGGTATACACTCGGGATGCACTTGACTTCCTCTCGTACAGCAATTAATGGCTAATCCCAAGTACTGTAAGGTCTTAAAAGTATCATGTACAATAAACTGGCCAAATATCATATGCATTGACGTGCGTTTGGGATCGTCGAGGGGTAGGTCTGGCATCAGTACTTGGGTTAACAGTCGAGGATTGGGCAGTTCGGAGCCGTCGCTGGCCTTACGGGGTATTTCGATGCCATCGGCGTAATCGGGAGGCAGTAGTCGTCGGTGACAGTGGAAACTCGAGCCCCAATTCGAGTGCAAAGGGTTATTGCATTTGCCGTCAATCCTCCGGTACTTGTAATTTGGATTACAACTGATGTAATCGCTGTCAGACTTTTCGATGTCACAGTACTTTTGATTACTCCATGGATTGGACGGTATTTCAATCGATGGCATAATTAGCGCTGACTTGTATTTATCAAAGCATTTCCTTAAAAAACAAAAGCGAATAAAATTTATATTTATTATTAATAAATTATTAAGCTTTTGATATTGTATTGTAATTTTTGGTTATTGTTATTAATTGTGATGAATTTTTTTTGTGTGGAAAAAAGGGCTGAATCTGACAGTCATGTAATTTATTAAACATAAAATTAGAGTTATTTATGTATTGGAAAGCATATTATTATTGGTAACTATTTTAGTCCTCTTGTGGGAAAAGGCAAATGTGCGGAAAATTATAACTTTTAATTATGTTTTTTGCGAAATGCTGTTAACTTTGTTCACAAACTAATTTGCATATATCAGGAAACTTGTAAAATAACGTTAATATTTTCTATTATTAATATTCAATATTATAAATCGTCAATGTGCTATATTTGAAATATGTTTTCAAATATATAGTTAAAATCATAATAAACTAATTTAGAATAAATATAATATTTTATCAATTAATTGAGTTATAAATGAGAGAAAACTTACGCCTTTGATATGTATTCAGTGAGGAATTCATTGTATTTTGAGTGAAGAGTCGCCACATATATAAAGGCACTGAAATTCAAACCGCGCCGATCTGTGGCCAGATATTCCTGATTTGCGGTTTCATACTCTTTGATCTGTTGGTCGGCCACTCGGAAAGCCGACCCAAACTCGCCGTTTAAAAAGTCATGACTTTCTCCCGTTTCCTGAGAACACCGTTGAGTAAAATATTCATTTTTCAGATACTGTGAGTAAATTTGGCTCAATTTGGGTGAATATTGTCTTTGATATTTGAATTTGCCTTCAGTCACATCAGACAACAGTTCGGGCACAACACCACCAAATGATGGCACCTTTGATGTATAACCCGCTGACTTGTGTGGTCTCGGGTGTGAATAGATCTCATTTTTGCCTATAATCTCATAGGAAGGCTCGTCGTTGGCCTTCCAGAAGGGCTTGTAGTGATGGGTCGGTCCATAAGAATGAGTGTTATTTTGATAATAAATTATAAATAAAAATATTAAACTAAAATTTTGAATAAATAAAACTTTTCCGAAGCGAAACATTTTCACCACATTTTATTATAACAAACTAAACATCTAAAAAAGACAACACAAAACAAACAGTAATCCTTTTATACCGACAAAAAAATTTGACTATTTTATAACGTGTGGTATTTTTCACAAATTAAGAGATAAATGAGATTACGAGTGAAAAACAGGAGTCAATTAAAGCGGAAAGAAATAACAATAATGTCGACCGAGGAGTGAATGAAGTGAATGAATGAATAGGTTTGGCGTTTGACAGAAGAGTTGGTTAAAGAGGGAGAGAACTACAAAAGAAACTGCAGTTTAATCGTTGATAAAACAAATAATGGAAAAAACATTGGAGTCATTGGAGTTGTGGAATACTCGCGAGTGAGAGAAAAGTAGACCAAATGCTTATTAAACTGTCATTTAAGTCATTAGATGTGAAAGAAAACACGAAAATATTTTTCTAAATTAGTATCTGTTCTCATATCTGACGCTAGAATTGTTTCGAAAACATTAAAAAACACTTTTCTTTCGATTGCAGTCAAGAGTTGCGAACAAAAAGTGTAAACAACTTTTGTTGCAAATATATTTTCACCCAAAATGAAAAACTCGGTTCATTTGTATTCACAATCAGTTATCGGCTATACTATTAACTTTTATAATGCACTACACCTAACATACAGTATAATAAGATCTATTGATATGTATTTTGTTTTACTTTTTATCATATCTATGAAAGGCATGTCATACCTGCCCAACAAAATTGCTTTCGTATTATAATTAATGCTAAATATAGCTCTAATATAATTGTTTTCCTGTTGTTTAGTCCGAAACACAATATATTTTACGCTTGAGTGTCAATGACATAAAAAAATTTATAAGTTTTTTAATACAATTCATCGAAACAGCCCTGAACTTTGTATTTCACTTATATACAGGGTGGTCGGAAAGTATGTCTTTTTTTAAAACGTTAATAACTCGTAAACTAGAAGAGATATTTTATTCAAATTTTTTGCAAAAAATTCATAAAAGTATGGGACGCTTGAATCAGGTTTTCAAAATTTTCGACATCCATTACAATCACGTGGAATACCAGTTTTTCAAAAATTGTCACTTTTCGGGTTTGTATGTCTATTTTTAAAAATCGCCATTACGATGAATGAAAACATGTTAAGCACACAACCCATACATTCACTTAAATAATTACGCAAATTGTTTTCATTTTTAATTATTACTTTACTGCTGGCGCAATTTTTAAAACAAAAAGATACAGCATGAACATCGCATTGTTTTTTGATAATCGCGCTATTTGTAAATTAGCAGCTAAAAATGGAAAATAACTTTGCTACATTATTAAAGTGGATGTATGGGATGTGTGCTTAACGTGTTTTCATCCATCGTAATGGCGATCTCTAAAACAAAACATAATTGTCCGAAAAGTGACAATTTTTGAACAACTGGTATTCCATGTGATTGTAATGGATGTCGAAAATTTTGAAAACGTGATTCAAGCGTCCCATACTTTTATGTATTTGTTGCAAAAAATTGAATAAAATATCTCTTCTAGTTTACGAGTTATTAACGTTTTAAAAAAAGACATACTTTCCGACCACCCTGTATTAATTATATTTAAGATTTACTATTAATTTCTTAAAACATTTGTATTGATAACCTAAAGAAAAGAAAAAGTAAGACATTCATGAATTTTCATGTAATATCAAAATTAATTTATTCAAAGAGACAGCGAAAGGAAATGAGACATTTCACACCATTATTGTAATGCAAATGTTTTATTTGAATCAATTTTGTGAAAACCCGGCG